CATATACAAAGACAGTGTACAGTATATGAAGGCTGTCTCTGCTCTGTCCTTCAGGCAAAACTACATCCTGCTGGGGTTGATAGAACCCTCCTATTTGGCAAGACCCTCCAAGATCAAAACAAGTAAACAAGTATATATTTTTATATAATTAGCTTTACACTTCCTGTAATTAGATTCCGGTTTCACTTTCTACAGCTTTACTCTTGGCAAACAAAGATGATCTGGAAGAACGAAGTAACATGCGCTTGGCTTTATTTAAGATTTTTTATATTAAACAGAGCGTCCTTCTAAATAAACAAATCAGCATACATAGTTTCACCCGATAAACCATCATTCGCTAAAATTATAACTGCACATATAAGACGCCCACGCGATTGCACGATGTATCGAAGTCGTTTAACAATGTATTGTGGATGTTGTAGTTTCACACGTCAACAAGAGACACTTTCGCCACTGGTCTTAAATTAAATTTAGGACTGCAACTACCAGAAACACACACGACTTGAATTCTGGGGTATGTAGGCTAGTACGGTGCCTCAATACGGGACCTTCACTACGTTTTCACGCTCTGACCTGATGTTTTGCGGTGCCAAACTGGAACTGCCATAACTGTCGAAAGGAAAAAATCTTGGACGATGTGACAAAAGCGATAGAGGTAAAGAGCGGTGAAAATGCGAAAGAAGAAACGAATAAGCTCACTTTTTGCTGAGTTTGTCTCCGTCCACCGTCTTCACGTCTGCCATGTTCTTGATGCAGCGCACAGAAAGAGCAACTGACATGCGTGCGCCGCAGAAACGCGAGAACTGAGTGGTGCGTTCAAAGGACTGACGGAAACCAGAAAACTGAAACGTCCAAGGATACGTCACAAGATGGGCCCCAAATTACGGCCTGCTGAATGCGGAGAGCTGACAGATCGTCAGTGCTGTTTTTTTTGTTTTGTTATATTCTATTTTATTTATTAATAAATCAATACATAAATCGGGATTTAATTGCATACTAATATTACTAAATGTTCTGAAATCTAACATGAACTGAAATGTTTCATAACTTGTATGTTGTCGCCTTCATGCTGCATGAATGCGTGTAGTTTAATTGATATCATCTTTCAACACATTTAAAGCTGGAATAAGGTAGGCCCAGTTTATTCTCCCTCCATCCTACGCTTAGGAGAAACGTTTAAAAACGATTTTGCCAGACTTTATTCCATTAGGCGCAATAAATAAATTAACTCTCAGTTACAGATTGCTTTATCTGATATTTTGTTGCTACTTATTTCATTAAAAAAGGGTGTTTTGGTAAGAATATACCAAATGATACTACTATTATTTTCTGAAACATAATCCTATGTTTCATCAGAAAATAATCTACATAAAGCCAGTGTGGAAAAACAAACACAAAACTAGGAATACCTAATTTGTGTTAAGAAGGCATCCAAATAATAAACTAAAACTAATAAAAGTCGTGTCCTCCTCTCATAACCAAGTAATAGTTTTACACCAGAAAAATGAAATAAAAATCCAACTAGAACTTAAAGTAAATACATTTATTACAGATAGCAGCAAGTTTAACAGAAAATTAATTGCAAGAGTAAAAATGTCCCAATAAAAGCCAGATATATAAAAGTTATTTATTTGTTTGTTTGTTTTTTTTAATATTTTGGGTAATGATGATTTGATAGTTGTTCACATGGTTAGAAACAGAAAGGAAGATTTTTACACCTTCGGATGTTTACTAGAAGAGTGGTTCACTTAGGCTTTAAATATGGCAGAGAAATGGAAAGTACAATTTGTAGAGAATTTGTGGCAAAGATAATTATCCACACCGTTTCAAATTGCAGAACACACCTAGTGTGCACCACCTTTTACTGGTCTGACAGATCTGAGCAAAATGACTCGTGACAATTAAAATTACATCCTGTTTAACAGGATGCCCTGAGGGACATCAGAAGAAAGGGAACCACTGCACAGTAAACAACTGGTATAGACGGAGGTATGACTCACATCTCCTAACAAAGCCTTTAAGTAAGATGGGAACAAAGAAAACACACATTTGTGACCCTTGTCTCAACGAAAACACAAGAAAGCATCTTTAATTGTTGCTGAAAAGTTAGCATTTTGACTAACAGAATTAAAACCAGGCAGAAATTGTAAATAACAAAGAACATCTATTTTGGTTTCTCCTTTAGTCTAAAAATGGGAGAGGCTATATAGAAAAATATATGTTCAAAAAGTAATAGATCTACATTTAAAAAGGTTTATTAGCTGCATAGCAGTTTCAGAGAAAAATCTTTTTTGCATCTGTGTCGAACAACATAAATGCAATGGGTACTTCAGTACAAACAAGTCAGATATGACACAAATTGCACAACACATGAATCCACCACAACCTCATTTATCTGGTCACTGTTGTCGAGCACTTAAAGCGCACTCAAAGTGTTATGGCTTGAAACATTCTATTTAATAAGGACTAACCATCCCCGGTAAGGCCAGCGAGGTGTTAAACAAGCAGATATGGTAAAACGTCAATCTGACTGTTGCTACAACATCTCGTTAAGGCACGTGTACAATCTTTATGGGTGTTTTAAGCAGTGTATATGGTAAAAAAAAACAAAAAAAAAAACAAAAACACAAAACAACTAAAATGTGTGTGACTCTGCTGACATAATATTAATAGGTTATAATAAAAGAAAACCACATCTTGTTCTACTGAAAAAGAAAATTAAATAAAATGAGAAAAACGAGAACTTTTTTCAAAATAAAACAAAAACCTCCCTCTTGTTTTCCATACACGACGGTGTAAATGAGGGAAACACACTCATATCTGATCAACAATTACACATAATA